TCTTGACACTTTCTAGCTTACTGAACAGTGACAGTCAAGCTGATTTAGCTGTGGCAGTGCATAATGACATCACCTGACAGATGTCTGCCCTGCTGGGGTCCTTGGCAGATTAGGATGCACAAATCTTAGTGCACATCTACCACATTAACTTAAACTCTCCCCGAGGTGGGTTTAATAATCACTGTGTTATGTCCTGTTCTGCCTCTGGTGTGTCCGACAACCTTCAGCAGAAGATAGGAGCAGTCTTGTGAGAACATTAATATCTTAAAGTTTCTGAAGGACCTAAGGTTTGGAACTTGACATCTTTTTCCATCATGCTGACTTTCCACCTCAACAGGGTATTTTTTTTTCAATCTGGGATAGATGTTCTCATTAAATGATGTGTTTTCAAGGTCAGTTGCCAGGAGATAAATTAAGATGCTTCAGCTTAATGATATAGCCTCTTACTCACTCACAGCATGATTTGGATTCTGCCTGTTCAGCACTGCCTGCCTTAAGTTACAAACTGTGAAGTGCTGTTCTTCCCATACAAGGATTTTTTCAAGCTGTAATGCCTGATTTTGGAGTAGACATTCCTCCCAGAGAGTTGGGACAGGAAGAGAGAGAAGAACATGAAGAAGCCCTTTCCATCTGCTATTCACACTTGTGCATTGTCCTTATCTCAAAGAAATTTGAAGGAATATTATAGACTTTCCACAGGCTACTGAGGCTGAAGTGGTCCATCCTGGCTGCTTTGATGGACAGAATGCAAAATTCACTCAACAGGGGTGATTGTACTCAGCGCTTCCAAATGTATGTGTCCATAAGCTTAAATTTTTGCTTCCTACATAATCAACGGGAATAAATAGCCCCAATTCAAGTACTTGACATGTGCCTTATAATGAAAAGAATTATTCCCTAAAAATGTCTTTTCCTCTCTGGAGATGTTCAGAAATAGGTAGCTATGTTTCCTTAAGTCCTTCTTTCAGAGCCCAGTGTTTTCTTGCTGTTTTTGCTGTATCTTACTGAAGATAATTGGCTACCTTCCCTTTTTTAGTGTTTTTTTTTTTTTTGAAGATACAAAAATGGAACCCTTTCCTCTAAGAACTAACCCAAATTAGTTTTTCTTTTACTGCAGTACCTCATATTATCAGATGATGCTCCATAAAGAAGAAAGTGGAAGAAACAACTTGTTTAAACTCAGTTACATTTTACAAATACAGAAAAACATTGTTCTTTTCTTTAGGATTAAGAAATAACGTATTCCTCTATAGACTCCTGTGTGTTGATACATAGGATAATGCTGTGACATCACTGTCAGAGGTGTCTTTAGAAAAAATAAATAAATTTAATTTGGCATTTAAATTCTTCAGGTGACATATTAGTAGGGTAGTCACTCCAGGGGTCTGTTGCTTTTGCAGAAAAATGTGTCTGAATATAATTGGTCTGAGATTTAATGTTAAAGGACTGCCAGAAAAATCCAACCCTTTACATAGATTTTTGGAATTGTGTTAATCATCTAATTTGTGTCCTGAAATCTTGAGCATGTCTGTAGGGTTAATTGGCAGAGATGCTCCAGTGAAGACACAAGATAGATAGGGAAATTCTTCTCATCCCTGTTTTTACAAAAGATAAAGTAGAATTGAGATCTTCTTAACAAAGGAAGAAAAGTTCAGCCTCTCAAGGGTGAGTAATGATATTGCTCAAAATTAGAGGTCTGGATAGCATCTTTGAAAACTATCTGGTCACAGAAGGCTGGAAATAACCCATGTTAGTTTGATTAGTGACTGTTTGGGTCAGGTGATTTTCATAGTGTCACACTGCAAGTTGGAGGCACCATTAGGGATGGAACTCTGTGAATCTCCTCTTGTGCCGACTAAGGACAGCTCTGTCAGCAGCAGCGATCATGTAACCGTGGAGTTTAAGGTCCTCAGACAGTTGAGAAAGATAAGCAGCAGCATTATACTCCTTCATAAGTTCAGATATTGGCTGAACTCACTTTGAAGGATCTCATGGAAAACTACCTTACAGGACAAATGGGATCCATGAAAGTTGGCTAATCTCCCAGGATATACTCTTCAGAGCACAAGACTGGTCCATTACAGTGTGCAGAAAGTCAAATAGTATCAATGAACATGGAGCACTTACTTGTGCAAAAAGCTTTAAAGAAGGTACACAGAAGGTAGAAACAGTGCCATCCTCCTTGGGAGGAATAGAAAGATGGGCTGGTCAGTATTCTCAGCAAGTGATATCAATTTGGAAGGAGTCAGTATGAAGCTGGAGGGAAGGTAGTTATTTGGGGAAACCTTAACAGGCTGGAGAAATGGATCGGTAGGAACCTTATGAAGACCAACAAAAACAAATGCAGTCTTGCATCTGGCATGGACTGACCCTGTGCAGCAGGGTTGGGGGACAACTGTCTAGGAATTGTCTAGGAAGCGGCTTTACAGAAAGGCACCTGTGGGTCCTGGTGGACAAAAAGTTGAAAATGAGCCAGTGATAGAGTCTTGCAGAAAAGGCCAACAGCATCCTGGGCTACATGAGCACTGAGTACAGAGCTACAAAGCACAGAGCTACAAGAGTACTGTCAGAAGGTTCACAGAAGTGATAATTTCTCTCTATTCAGCACTTCTCAAACTGCACCCAGAGCACTGTCCTGTTTTTAGCTCCCCGGGAAAACATGGATATTGACGTACTATGGTGAATCCAGTAGTGGGACAAGTTACTCAGGAGCTGGAGCAAAGGATGTATGAGGAAAACCTGAGATAACTGGATTTGCTAAGTCTGGATGAAGAAGAGTTCAGAGGTGGTCTTTTTGCTGTCTACAGCTACCGAATCAGAGAATAAAAAGATAGAGCCAGACTTTTCTTAGACACAATGGGCAATAAAAACAGAAGAAACAGACATAAACTGAAATGTGGGAAACTACATCTTGATATAAAGGGAAAAAAAGCACTATGGGGGTGACCAAATACTGGAACAGTTTTCCCAGGGAGGTTGTGGAATCTACTTCTTTGGAGGTGTTCAAGACTCAGATGGACACTGGCCTGAGCAATCTGACCTGATTAGATTTGCTTTGAGTTTATAATTGGACTAGATGATTTTCGAAAGTCCCTTCCAAGGTAAATTATTCTAGGATTCTACAGATATGGCTAAATTATGCTACCAAAACATTATGTTCAGTAAGCTAAATGCTTGGAATTATTTCCTTTTTCATTTTACATTTGCCACTATGTAAATCTTTATGAAGTATATTCTCCTAGATAATATGCTTGGGTAACTTGAATTACCTGATCTCTGACTAAGAAATTTCAATAATTCAGCTGAAATGAAAATTGAAAAGGCAGTATATAGAAAGTAGGTAAACACTAAAGCTATTAGAGTTAATTGATAGATTTTCGAGGGCTTTAATTCACACATTTTAGAGATCACCTGCATTTGCATTTTTCCATTTTTTTTATTTTTAGCTTCAAGCAAAGTTTTTGTCAAGAAAGACTGCAAGTAGACCTGTAAAAATGTTGTCTTGTGTAATAATACCATATTATAGCACTGATAGGAAATATTAAATTGTCCCACATTTTTCCTTCTACTTGTCAGTGTAGCGTTTAATTAACAGATGAATTTTAGCCTAAAAAAATCAACAATGATTTATATTACAGGACATGTTTTTTTCATGACACTGTATATTAATCCCCTTCCAATTTTCTATTATTTCTAGGGGAATTTCTTTGTGCTCCCTTTTTATTTCTTCTATCATGAGAATAGACAGTATATTCATGCTAAGGTTGAAGATTTCTGAAGCCTTCCAAGATGTAACAACTCTATTTTCATCAACTGTTCTGTGATCTAGATAGGCAGACCCCTTTATGTCTATTGCACAACACCAGTGAACATCTCCTCATCTCATCATCTGCACAAAAAAAGATGGAGAAATCACTTCAGCTGAAGCTAAGAGCCATGTAGTAAAGGCTAAAAGCCAGGCAATACAGGCTCTAGGGATATAACGGTGCAGGAGGTCTACTGGTATGTGGTTGGTGAGTCTTCACTGCTGCTCCTGGAGGCATATACCATATGAGATATTTGACTCAACTAGTAGAAAGCACTCAGTGTCCAAAAATGGACTCATAACTTAGCTGGGAAAGTAGCAGTCTTCACAAAAGTTGACCGCAACCTGTAAGAGAAGATGGTTGTATTCAGGATTAAGAGAAGATGGGTTGTGTTCTTAGCCCATCAGTGATCAGCAGTGGAGTAAGTGGCAGATTGATCATGCTTTTCCATAGTCTTTGGTGACTTTGCTTAGAAAAATAAAATTAAAATAAAATAAAATAAAATAAAATAAAATAAAATAAAATAAAATAAAATATCAAGGAAAGAGTACTTGGTTGTCACTTCACTTCTGTCCTCATAACTCATTCTCCTCCAAAGTCAGTGCAGAAAAATTGCTCTTGTGTGGGGCAACTAGAACCAACTATGATCCACCTATCAGTGGATTGCAAGTATTTACATGCATTTACAATAATATCTAGAACACGTGTTTTTTGGCAGAATTGCATATGTTTGGTTTATATGCCTTAATGCACATTCAGCTCATGCCCTGACTAGGTATGCAGGTGTTTTGGAAATTTTTTATTAAATGTATTATAGTCTGCTCAGTTAAATCTCGTCCCACGTAAGAGCTATTCATCCAGATTTTGCTCCTAGAGTGCACAATAGCTTACATTAGTAGATAGGAGGAGTGGGCAATGTCTTACAATGTGCCACACTATATGTTTTTGTAGTATGGCAGTACTCTTGCAATGCAATAGTTTTTCTATGATTTTGCAAAAATGTACATATAGAATATCAGGTTAGTTAACTGTCTAGGAGGTAGATCTAGACATGTTTAAAGTCTCTCTTTGGAGACACTTGCTTCATTAGAAATTAGGCAGCCCACAACTGTATTTTTGAAAAGCTCTGCAATAAAAAGAGACTGTGAATTTTAATCTCTGTATTTTTCTTTTCTTACCGCTTTTATTTTACAGGGTAGTTTTTACGTTCCTTCAGAAAATTGCATGCAGCATGCATACAAATGGCATAAGGACCTGTGTCTTCTGCTCTTGAATGCTCATAGAGGACTTCATATGTACTACACTCTAATAATGAAGGAGATTCCTGACTTACCACAGCTGAAGTTGGGTAAGAGAACAAAAAACATTAAATTCTGAGTAAAGTCCATTGGTGCCTTTTAAATAAAATAGACCATTTAGAGTTTTTTTTTCTTTTCCTTTTTTGATTTTCTGATATCTGTGTTTTTTTGTATGCATGTTTTTTTTCCCAAGCTGTGACAGATGACTGTCTGCTCAGTCTGTGTAGAACATTTTCACCAGCTGAAGGTGTCCTGAGATGCAGAGGGATAAAATTTTTAATAAATGTCTCAAAATACTTGCCTCTGGACAATATCAGAGTCTGTCGCTTTTCAAGGACTTGAGCTTCCAGTTTTGCATTCCCATGAGATAGCAATTTTTACTCTTGAGCAAAAACTATTCTAAACTGAAAATAAAAAGCTAAAGTGCAATATGAGTGTTATTGAAAAATACTCCCTCACTTATGTTTGGGAATATATTTCTTCCTTGACAATACCATAATCACAACTTTCTCTTTAAAATGATTCTGCTTTTCCCTAATTCAATTATCTAATAGATTTTCTGGAAGCAAGCAAGCAAATAAACATTCCTTTCTTTCTGGCAGAAGCCTCAGTAGCTGATCAGGCCTTTGAGGAATGATGTGTAACTGCTGGCTCTCTGGTTTTGTGGAATGGAATGGAGCATTGTAGTTTTCATTTAGTCATGTTGATAGTAAAAGAATAAGAAATCAGAGCATCCGTGATGAATTCCATCTCTCCCAACTGTTTCTTTGAATTCAGGGAATTCACACATGTGTTTCTGTTTTTGTGCCTGTACGCATGTTTTTGAAGTGATCAGTTTGTTTTGTTGCAGAGAGAGTTGTATTGGGAGAACTGATTGTATTGGCAAGCAGCTTAAAAAAAAGGAGGAAAGAACATTTTCCTTTTTGGTGTGTAGGTATTATTACCACTGTGAGATGTAATGCATTCTGCTGTACAGCCTTATGGGATGAAAGCTCCTGTTTTCCACTCCATGTATTGTTCACTGCTGTATATTTCATTCCTAAAGTGTTTGCGACTCATGGTGTGGGAAGCGAACATGACATGTTACCCAAATGAACCACAAGAAAAAAGCACAGTATATTTCTTTGCAGTTTATGACCTGTCAAATAAAACCCAGCATGCAAAAAAGCTCATAATTCAGACATCTTAGTTATCAGCCACATTTTTAGGTTATTTGTATATCACCTGAACGGGCTTACAGGTTGGGAGTTGATGAGTTAAGCATTTCTGGTTGACCACAACTGGAAAGCTGCCCCAAATATACATATTGCCTTTCTGAATATGATTGACTTACTTAGTTTTCAAAGGACTGTCAATAGTGAATCAGGCACTTCATTTGCAAATATACTTGTAGCACATGCAGATTTGCTAAATGCAAATCTATCTGCTTGTGTGGAAAAAAGCTCAAATCATTTTATTCACATAAACTGTGAAAATCTATTGAAAGTTTGATTTATGCTTAGTGCTTGGAGGCCTTATCCAAAGCCCAGTGGAGTCATGAGGTATGAAATTTAGCCAATACAATGAATACTAAACAAATATTTACATTTGATAGATACATCTTTACATCTATCTAGACACTTTCCCATAGTGTCCTGATAGTCACTGGGGAGAAAGAGACGTATTAAGAACAGTTAAATACTTCTTTTCTGTCAAGTAGTGCCATTGGCCTTGGTAATATGAATTGCACTGAAAACTGCACCATACTGAACAGGAGGAAACCATAAATGACTCATTCAATTGTAGCCATCTATGTTTGCTCAGATTAATCTCTTCATGGGCATCTAGTGAGAGTGGGAATGAATCAAACACCATAAATACCCACTATGGACTTTCTGTTTTTTTCCCTAGGCCCTTGATTAGTATATTAAAAATTTAACAGTCTAATTGAAACATTAAGAGTGGAATTCATTGTTTCCCAAAATTTACCTGTTGAGGACGAATCTTTTCAAGCTGCTAAATATCTCAGTTAATCCTCTCACATTCATTAGTACTGTTTAAGAAGAGACATTTCCGGGAGGAGGCTTTGTTTCTACCCTTTTGCTTCTTTATAAATATTGTCAAGAAGTGTCGCATTGTAAAATCCAGCTGCCAAAGTTTCAGGAGAATTTGTAGCCTCCCCTGCTACATCTGCGGTGTATTAAAGTGGAACATCCCTATGCTGGATTCTCTCTGGACTATATCCAAGCAATGCTGTATACCCTAGGAGTAAGCAGATACTTCACACAGACCAGGGAAATATGGAGATGCTCAGTCTAGTACCAGTCAGGTATATCTGGTATATCTCTGTGTAATAGCTAAAAAAAGACTCACTTATGCATTATTTGCTCAGGGTTTAAAATGTTTATAGTATATCATATACAGACATGGAGCTCGCTGTAAATAGCAATAGCTGACAGGAAACGAGCAGTAAGAGAGAATATAGACAATGAGAATTATGATCTCCCATGTAACACAAGATTTATATTATGTTACGTGACCATAGTATAAAGCTGATCTAAGGTTTCCTGACCAGAGAGTCAGGATCATCCTCCTCTCTGAAGACCTCTGCAGACCCTGTGCTGGATTGGATGCAAATGCAGAGCTCCCCTAGACAATACAAGTGTTGGCTCTTTATTCAGAAAGGTAAAAAAAAAATGCAGGGAGGAAGATGTTGCTGTGGAAATTTTGGTATTTTGCATGTTGCTTTTCTACTCTGAAGAAAGAAACATCTCTTCTGAGGTGTTAAGAACTTCCAAGTGTTTCTTTTAATTGTAATGACCAATTTCTGTTCTGGTTCTTTGGGGTTGAAAGACTAAATCCTGTTCTCTTTAACCTGGCAAGACCTTTGCAGAAGCTTTATTTGTCCAAGTCACATGAACAGAAGCTATGCTTGAAGAACGTGAGTTGTGAAATAATGTTAGAAGACCTGTTTCTGTCCTGGATGAACAGCAGCACATTAACGATTCACATCTACAGTTCTCCAGTCTGATTTCTTTTTTCCTTTGTTTGTTTTTTTCCGTAGAGGAGTTATCTGTGGAAGACACGTTATCTCAGTTTTGTACGGAACTTCAGGTAAGGTAGTTCCTTCAACATTTTCGGTTCATACATGTAATTTTCAAGGGCACTGACACAGCCTTACTGTGTGTCAGAGTGGGAGGAATCTGGTGCCATCAGAAAGTTTGCTGTATGCTTCTTTTCCCAAAATTCATATAATTTTGATTATTCACTGACATGATGTATTTGTCACTTTTAACAAATCACCAGCTACAATACTTTAGCATCTTTCAGTGAGCCTAGCCCCTGAGTATAGGTAGGTTGAAATTACACCTCTTTGGCTGATAGTTGTCCAACTGACAGGAGAAAAGACCCCTTGGTAGGTTTTGCAGCCGCATCTTCTCAAATAAAATTGCCTAAGTGTGTGTGGAGTATCTGCAAGGAAACTAGCAATTCTGGGCAAAGCCTTGCCTTTTCTTCTGCCATGGTTATTTCAAGTGAGACTCAGGGAAGATGTCAAGGATGTCAAGAGGAAACACAAGTATTGTTCAAACATGTGGTGAAATGTTTTATGATCAGAGATTTAATGAATTTGATTTGTTTAGATGGAAGACAGAGAGGGAACTTGATTATCATGCAGGTATGAAGAAGATTCACCAACACAGAGAACAATGAGACAAATGACAATAAATGGCTAGAAGCTGCAGCCAAACCAAACAGGAAGGAAATTTAAGCTGCATTTTTGATTGGTGGGATGATGGCTGTCACCCGTGAGTGGAAAACCTTTGTGAATTTCTTAATCAAGTCATGACATGGATACCTTTCAAGAAATTAGATTTTAGCCAAATTTTATTTAGGCAAACATAAATTGTTGGTCCTTGCTCCATTGGATAGCTAAAATCTAGAAGCCTTAAAGATACAGGAGTTCTGAAAACATGATTTAGAGACTCCTTAGTATTTACTCTTTTTGAATCTGGAAAAGTTCAAATTGTCTTGGTAAACATAAGAAAATATCAGCCTTAATTTCTCCATATTTCTCAATTCTTGTCCAATTCTTTTTTTTTTTTTTTTTTTAAATAAGTCTTATGCACCTCTGTGGGGTACAAATGAGCTTTGGGAACACTCTCCTAGTATTGATCAACATACGAAAAAAAATGGTCATTTGCAGGAGAAGAAAAAGTTATTAAAACCATAGAGAGAGAAGTCCATGAGGTTAGTTTCCAATTACCACTATATTACAGAAGTTGGGTTCAGTCTCAAAAAATAAATGAAAGAAAAGAAGAAAGGAGAGTGAGTTTTACCCTGTCACACTTTAGTATTCTGCTCAAGGACACAGCAGAAACTCAAAGCAAGAGAAAATGGAAGGACAATATTTTTTAAATTGTCTGGTTGATTTATAAACAAACAAGCAAATGTAACCTCTCCAGAGAACCTCCTGATTGGTTTTACGTGATAGGATTGTTAAAGTCAGACTATGCTGGCTGGAGTTGGAAAGGTCCAGCAACAGGGAATGCCTGGCAGAATTTTTGTGAAGACAATATCCAGAACCAAACATTGTGACCATTTTAAATATCCTGTGCTGGGCTTTATCCTGGGGAAACGAATCCCTGAGGTTTAACCTGCATTCCTAGCTTGCCAGGCTTGTTCTGTGTATTCCAGTACAGTGAGACAGTAGCAACTGGAGCTGGACAGGGCTCTTTCCTTTTCCCCTTTGTTTTTCTCTTTTTTCCCTCTTTTTCCCTCTTTTTCCCCTTTATTTCCCCTTTTCCTTCACCTTTCCCCTTTATTCTTTCTTTCCTTTTTCTTCTTCCTTTTCCTTTTCCAATGTTAAGAGTCAAAATCCAGAAAATAGCCCTCATACCCTTAATATCATTTGAATTAATGAAATATCTTCTCCTTTGAAGATTTTAGAATAAAAGAAAATATGCATTGAAAGCATGGAGCACACCACATTGAGACCAGCAAATGAAGTAGGGCCCTGATTTTGTAAGGAGAGATTTGAGGCAGAATTCCCTGTCTACCAGCATCGGTCTGATTTCTCCAGCATAAGGTGTATTGGAACTTGTGGCATTTTGGGTAAATTGATGAATCACAATATCACACAGACAATGTGCTTATTAAACATACAAATTTTGTTTGAATGTAAACTCAGTGAAATTATCTGTGTTTATTATATATACAAATTTTCTGTTTGCCTCTCTTTTACATAAAAAAAAAGCTTTTAATCTTGGCTTTGCAGTATCGCAGGTACTTCTGCTCTTGCAGCTTTTTCTGTTAAGCAAGTCTTCAGCATTTTCTGCCATTCTAGCCAAGCAGGTACCTGGCCTTGAAGGAACTGATAAGTGGCTTTATTTCTGGAGTATTTCAGGGGGTGAGTTCATCAAACGTGGTTCATCAAACCATGTAGACTCCTTTGGAATAGATAAAGGCTCAGTTTCCCATTCTTTGCATCAAGCCAGGAGAGATAAAATACAGTAGCTATTTGTTGTTGTTAACGAAATACTCAAACCAAGGTGGCCGATATGCAGGGACTTTGCTGCTGTCCTGTGCTACCGTTCTTGGGTGGTGCAGAATTGCAGGGCATAGAGGACCTCAGCCTATCTCAGCATAGGACAGAAGCAAAGACCAACTCTGGGATGTCTGTTTTCATCCTGTGTTGAGGACACAGGATTTTTTTTTTTTAAATATTTATTTATTTATTTATTTATTTTCCATAATCAGCTATCTGGTATCAAGGGAAGATTGTTTTTCTACTCAGAAAGGACATGGTGATGAGTGAAGGTTTCTTATTTGGGAGTCTCCAGCACCATCTGGTGGATAGTTTAGAATCCATGCTCATGAATTTTTCCATATTTACTTTCTCTGCAGTGAAGCATATGAGCAAACATTGAGGGTGTTTCTGCTTCCTGCCCTCCTGCTCTGCAGATAAGACCCTTTGTGCCAAAACACATGGCCTTTAAAAGGCAAAAGCAAAAGGCTCACCTGATTGATTTGGGGTAAAAGAACTGATAATAATAATTTTATATGTATGTACATATATATAGATAGATATTTTGTTCCTGGAAGGACTTAATCCAACAAGCTGCTTTTCTTTCATGATCATCCTTGATCTCAAAGTATCCTTTCTTTCCTCCAGCTGTTGAGCAATCCAGAGAAGATAGCAGAACAGATAAGCAAGGACCTTGCCTGGCTTTGCTCCCATCTCTTGGCCCTGTGGACCCAATTCCTGGAAGTAGCAACGCTCCATCCGGAAGTCACAGCTTATCTGACTCAGGAACATCACATGCTAAGGGTAATTTTAGTTAAGAGTAAGCTCAATAATTTGCTGATAGAGAGACATCAGTAATATATCTGGATAAATATTTACCAAACTACTGTGGCTATAGGAATATATTCAGGACATGTCAGGAAAATGACAAAAAATGAAGAGGAGGTGAGCAAAAGTTATATTTTATGCCAAGTAAAAAACTTCATTTTCTGTTTTTATCTTCTTCAAAACTGAAGGAGTGGAATGGTGACCATTTTGTCTTTTTATTGCCTTACAAATAATACAAGTAGACTGTAGTCTACAATATAGACTGTAGTGATCATAAAATAACTTTGAAAAATACAATGCTAGAGTGGTCTTTCACAGGGATGGGATAAAAGTGAATTCTCTGCAACTAGCTCTGTGCTAATTTGCTAATTCAAAGCCTTCTGCTGCCTTGAAGTACAGGGGTGACTTTCAGACCTAACAAAACACCATTTGTGAAGGAAGTTTTCAGATCATCAGGCTCCGTTCAAGAACAGGGAATCAACAGCAGCCTCGTGACTTCCTTCACCTCCACTCTATCTGTGGGCTTTTCCCAAGATATTGCCTTGCTCCTTAGAGCCAGGAACACATGACTATGGGAAATCCGTTTTCAGGATCCAAAGACATCCAGGATTACTTTACAACTGCTTCACAACAGCATAAACAACCTTCCATGATGGTGGTTGCTAATAGTGATCATTTAACTAGTTTTCAAAAAAGCACCAAGAATGTGCTGAGTGCTTTGTAGGTGTATCCAAAGAGAAGTTATTTTCCCTTTCTCAGCATTCATAGGTTGGTTTAATGACAGGTTTCATCCCTTGTCTGTAAATTTTTGCATCCCAAGTGGACAAACACTTGAGCTTCAGTCAAGTTCTGTGGACAAAAACAGCTCTCTAACACTGAGCAACTTACTGGATTGTCAGCATTGAGTTTGAGACTATGGAAAGTTGCTTTGCAAGCAAAAGGCTCTTTCACACAGAAGATACATTTCAATTCTGTATCTCTGCTGATCAAATAATGAGTTTTAGGCACCCTTATAAGTACCTTTACTGTCAGATACAATCTATACCATCACATTTGAATTTCTGGAAAGCAGGATATTACTTTTGTGAGATCTGGGGTGCTGTGTGAAGTGGGTACACTGTAAATATCGAAACAATATGGAACAGGAGGTAGATGGGACGAGGTAGATAGGATCAAGCATAATTTCCTATGCAGGTTAGGTATCTATCATAAATGATAAATCCAACTATAAATAGCACACCCTCCAAAAAAAATTATCTCAACTCTTTCAAGAAAACCATATAAGAATATATGTTTCTTCTCTTCACTGTGTCACATACGTGTAGTTAGTACTTTCCCTTCCCCTAGTAAGCTGCATACAACAAATTGTTAATATTGTCCATTGAAATTGGTGTTTGAATTAGTATTTGATAATAAAGAGGGCACAAATGGTCTTATACTTAAAGGTAATTGTGTCATACCTACTTGGTTCAGCAAGCGTTGTACCTTCCATTAGGACCTTTTCTGTTATCAACCACTATGTGCGCAGCTGTATAGGAAACAAGATATTGCTTTCATTGCATCAGCTGAGCTGAAGTCATAGCCTGATTTAATCATTATGAAAAAAAAGATAGGATTCATCTTACTTAAGGAACCTAATGTGTAGGTGTCTACATCTCAGCTTACTCTCTGTTTTCTGTTAAAGTCAATGGAGGTCCAGCCACTAGGCATGAGAGCAGCCGAAAGGGGTCTCGCCTGGGTCATCTAACCCAGGAGGAAATGATTAATGCTCAAACTCCCCTGCTTCTTTTGACTTTCAGAGGAACCTGGAGTGGCTTGTTCAGCTGAAGGGCCCTCTAGACAACCAGCTTCAGGAGATGAATTCCAACCCACAGTTCTAGCCCCAGCTGATGCCAACTGCCAGTGTCATTTTTGGCAAATTACTTACCTTCATGTGCTTCAGTTTCTTCTAGTATAAGCTGTGTTTAATGGCACTTTCTGAGTCATGGAAAACAGTTTGAGCACCAGATCAGAAGTTATCTTACCAAGAAGCAGCTTCAGTTAAGGGATGCTAGTCCTTTTTTTAGAAAGGCTGTTTGCTGAAGCACAGCTGGGATTTAGGGACATGTTGAAATGCTGTGGCGTATGCTTTTTGCTGCCATTCTCTGACACTGTAATAGAGGTCGCTTTCACAAATATTATTAGTAATGTATGGGCTGCAGTTTAACAGCTTAGTACATCTGATTGTATATTATGACTGATTGATTGAATCCCAAAGTGTATTCCAGGACAGATAGCAGTACGGAATTTTTTATAGCTTATTTCACACTCAGTGCTCTGCCAGCCACTTCAGATCTGAGTCTCTTTTGTAATTGATTATCCACCTCTGAACATCTCTAAATTCCATGAAGAGATCTGGAGAGCTCTCATTTGAAAAGCATCATGACATGATGTGTTTCTACCATGATAAGGCTTTTTCTCTCTGAGTTGAGAGTAAAACTTTTACTCTCTCGAGAGCTACTGTGAATGTTCCCATGGAAGACACAATCAACTAGCAATTGTTCTAACTTAGCCACGTACTGTGCTGCTGCCATATGACTTGCACAGTGAGAAAAGATTATCCAGTTTATGGGGCAAAATGGTAAATTTGGTGGCTTCTAAAAAGACTCAGAAGATGCCCATGAGGAAGTCCTAATTTACTGACAAGGGACACTTCTTTCCTGCCATTTAACTATGGAGCAACACCAACTGCTTCATGCTGGCCTGGAGAAGTGAAGCAGAACTGGCCTCTGTCTCCTTCTGTCACCAAAGTGTTGCAAAACAGATGGAGCGTATTGGGGAATCTGTCCTTGACAGTCGCTGGTCTGTTATTAGTTTGATTGTCCTTTGTGCTTTTCAGCAGATCCGAGGTCTAATTTGTGTGTTTCCCACTCAGGTAAGAAGATTCTCAGAAGCCTTCTTCTATACTGAGCACCGGAAACTCGCTGTGTTGACGTTTCAGGAAGGCCTGTGAGTAATTTCTCAAGCCTTCCCGGTCACTGAAGTAGCTGAAAATGTAGTTTCCTAAATTTTTTTTGGTTCAGGATAAGGTCCTTTCTATTGGAAATGGAGGGAAGTGTGGCTTGAGAGAAGTTGCTGGGTCTAGTCTGGCCCTGTGTTGTAAACCTGTTGAAACGAGTACTAAAAGTGGCATGGCAAGTTACTCAAGGCCCACATAATGTTAATTTCAATATCCCTATTAGACGAATCTCTCTCTTACTCTCTTTCACATACGAATTACTTAATAGGGAGATTATGGCTTAACATGCTTTATCAAAGAGGAGATCTTCCTTGCCCTCCTCTCTTCTCAAGATCAGTTGGGTACCTTTTTCTTCAAAGCTTTATCTCCTCCAATTACACTAGTCTCAGGGTAGGCAGAATTTTTTTTTTTTTTGCTGTCTTCCTTCAATTAGCTTCCCCAAATCTGTACATCAGATCCAAATTTCCAATTTCATTAGGAAGGAAACTGTACTACAATTGCACTATAAAAGCTTAACATGTAATAATTTCCTTTTTACTGTCCATACTATTTTTTGTGGGCAGACAGTCATGGATGTATTTTACTTTTTAATTCAGACCTATTTTATATATCAGAAGAATATGTAAATTCAAACAGGAGTCTTGTTTCACTGGCCAATAGCCATTGCAAAACTGAATATCCCCTGGATCCTGCAGCTCACGGTTGGTGGGAATACCACCATATTAGCTGTAGGAAAAATGGAAGCAACATGCACTTAGAGCTGATAAATACTTAATTACTTGCTCAAAAATCAGCAGTACAAAGAAAAAAGAAATTTTGCACAGGACTGCACTCATAGAAGTATGCTATGAAACATGTAGCTTAAGTATTTCCTTCCGCTCAACACTACTTGCCTAGAGCCCAGTTGCAGAGTACAAGGACACTGCTTAATTCTGCCCTCACTTCTAGCCAAGTAATATGGTCATCGCAAGTAGAGTGCATGGACTAGGTTGTTCTCAAATTGTTCTATTGCATGAAGTGCCTTCATTTTTCATGGTACACAGAAAACTAGCATAGACTAGACATATGTCCTTCTTGGCCTTGTTCCTCATTTCCCTGTTCAAATAGATTTTTGATTGCTGCTTCCTGCAGCTGGATTTTTGAAACCCTTGCAACAGTCAGAGTGATAGACCTCCTTTTCTGCAGAGAAAACCTTATGAGGTGTTCAGTATCAGACAGATGTGGTGATCCTTGGGACAACAGCAACAAGTTATAGTAGTTAAGAGCAGCCCGCAGCGGAGACAGCAGTAGCAATTTCCCCCAAAAGACAGGTTTTGAAGTGAGCAGAATGCAATCTGTTGACACCTCTAACTCAGTCAACAACACCAACTCTCAGGACCTCTCTTTGGAGTGCTGGTATCCCCTTACCATACAGCACTGCCTCTTCTCCAACCAATTTGCAGTTGAGACAGAAAAAGGGGACAAAGTCAGTAATATTGGTGGAACAAGCTGTATGTGTGTATGTCTTTGAGGCCTTCTGATATTGCTCATGGCCACAGGAATTCAAGAGGTTAAAACCGAATTCTGACTGACAGTTTCACAGAATCATAGAATAAAGAAAGTTGAATAGGACTATGAGAAATTATCTGGACCAAACTCTGGACAAAACTCAGATTAGGTAGCTCTGTCTGTCAAATTTTGGATATCTCCAAGGATAGTGATTCCACAGTATTCCAGTGGCAATTTTTTTTTCCTAATGTCCAGTTGGAATTTCCCTTGGTGCAACTCTTATCAGTTGCCTCTTCCACTATCGCCCTTTATCTGCCAAAGGAATCTGGCTCCATGATCTCTATACCCTCCCACTTGAGAACTCCTGAAAAAAACTGTTTTCTCAGCCTGCGCTGCTGCATGGGGTTACTCCATCCCTGGTGCACAATCTGGCATGTGCCTTTTTTGGACAATTCCTGAGTTTGTGATATCTCCCTTTCTCCAGCCTGCCTGCATTCTACAGAGGAGAAATCCTGTCCTCTATCATATCAACCTTCCCATGTCCAAGTTTGGTATTATCTGCAAACTTGTTGAGAGTGCAAGCGGACTCCATCCTGTCACTGAGGTCATTAATACAGATTTTAAGTGGTATTGCCCCAATATCCATTCATGGGAACCATAACTAACTAGCTGCCGGTCTAACTTTGCTGTCTGGTTTGCAGGACTGACTAAGAAACTGTACTGAAATTATTCCAATGCTCAATTGCTTTTGTATTTTGCTGTCAGGATCCAAAGTCACGGACATATTTCTACAGAAATTCGGAATTCAGAGTACTTCACCAGCATGCCCCCTCTGCCAGCAGAATGCCTTGACATAGATGGGGACTGTAACACACTCCCGGTTATATTTGAAGACAGGTACATGGATTTGCCTTGCAAAGGTGAGTGAAGCACGAAAAAGTACAGCTTGGACTCAGAGCATTTCCACTTCCTCTTCGCTTCATGAGCTATCACTTACCTTTGGCTGGCTCCAGCACTCATCTGATTGCTTCATATTCTGATTTGGGGACCGAGCTTGTGGAGGGCAGCTCTGCAGAGAAAGACCTGGGTGTCATGGTGGACGACAAGTTGACCATGAGGCAGCAGTGTGCTCTTGTGGCCAAGAAGGCCAATGGGATCCTGGGCTGCATTAAGAAGAGCATCTCTAGCAGGTCGAGGGAGGTGATCCTGCCCCTCTACTCAGCCCTGGTGAGGCCGCATCTGGAGTACTGTGTCCAGTTCTGGGCTCCACAGTACAAGAGGGATGTGGAGCTGCTGGAGAGAGTCCAGCGCAGGGCTACAAGGATGATCAGGGGCCTGGATCATCTGCCCTATGAGGAGAGGCTGAGGGAGCTGGGCCTGTTCAGCCTGGAGAAGAGAAGGCTGAGAGGGGATCTAATCAGTGTATATAAATACCTCAAGGGAGGGAGTGCAGAGGACGGGGATGGTCTCTTTTCAGTGGTGGCCACTGATAGGACTAGAGGAAATGGCCGGAAACTGAAACATCAAAAATTCCATAGGAACTTAAGGAAAAATTTCTTAACAGTGAGGGTGACAGAGCACTGGAACAGGCTGCCCAGAGAGGTTGTGGAGTCTCCTTCTCTGGAGATCTTCAAAACCCGCTTGGATGCAGTCCTGTGCCACGTGCTCTAGGTGACCCTGCGTGTGCAGGGGGGTTGGACTAGATGATCTCTAGAGGTCCCTTCCAACCCTAAGCATTCTATGATTCTATGATTCTATGATTTAAATCACTAAACTGCTGAAAACTAACCCCCAACCCCCAAGTTATTCTTTTTCCTGCCTTGGAGATGGTTGGGAAGGGAAATGAACAGCTCAGAATGGGAGTGAGATATTCCCCTTTAGCAGGTACAAACCACCAATTTGGCTTATTTATAAGGTGGCACTATGCACTCAGGTCTGTGCTCACCATGAGTGGCACTATGCACCCAGGTCTGCACCCAGGTTAGGCCTTCCAGCAGACGACCATAACATATCCATACTGTGGGGAAGCCTCCTGAGTCCTGATACAAAAGCACAGAAAAACCACAGAGCTGCACGGCTGTGGTTATATAGACCAGTATGGAAGAAGAGCCTCGATTTTGTTATCTGGTCTCACCATCCTGGCCAAATGAATCTGCAGTCACATGAAGAGGGCAGCTGCGGCTGCGGACCAAGGAGCTGGAGAGATACCCAAATACTCCATTGGGAATAAACAGGATTGTGTGTTTTCACCCAGCTTTCCAGCTACTGTCATAAAATAGGACGTAGGTTCTAATTGGGAAGAAGGAAAAGTTCCAAGGAAATAAATCTGCTCCTGTTGTAGGAAGTGATGAGGTGGCATTAAAAAAATCTGTCTGTCCTTGTCACTGGTGATAAAGAAAGATCTGAGTTATTATAGTGAGATTTTAGTTATAGTGAGTTATAGTTATAGTGAAATTAGTTATAGACTAATCCTCTGCTTGTACTTTAGTAGAGCATGAACACTATTTAATGTAGCTATATTCCTGTTTTTCTTAGAAGCAAACCAGACAGTATTTCCTGCAATTTAATATTTTTTATCTCCAGAGAAAGCAAGTTAATTACAGGAAATGGAGATAAAATCTAGAAGAGAAAGAAAGTCTTTTTTTGTTGTTGTTGGTGGTGGTGGTGGTTTTTTTTTTCATTATAAATTTAAAGGAAAACTGACACAATGGATTTCATCCCTAGTGTGACATCTAGTGGTAAGAGAACTCAGAACAAAACATCTCACTATCTATCTCACTCGATTAATTTAAACATAAAGCCCAACTCTGTCCCTAAAAGGTAGCACTATTTATTAAAAAAAAAAAAAAAGGTTTTTATTTAAAAAATGATTTAGTTCCACAAATCTGTGGTAAAATCTCATAGTCCTTGGTTACAGTTCCTTTTTAACTATTAACTCAAAAATGAAGCAATAGTATTAAAACAGTGAGTGATCATCATCCGGTAAATATGGCCTGAGATCCTAAATTTCCATTCTAGAAGAATTGCCTAATTTTAACACTGCTCATTACAGATATTTTAATAATTAAATTGACTCAAAAGCAAGGCCTGTATTCTGTATTATGAAGCACGCAGAGCCTTCTCTGAACGGCCTACCTTTGCCGTAGAGATTATTAGAGTAGATAAAATTATTCCGGGAAAATTATATTTTACTGATATAGTCCCTTTTTGCCTAAACACAACTGTTTAGTGAGTGTTATTCTTGCTAAAAGAAACTGTGTACTTTTTGACATTTGCATTTGTTATAGATGTGTAAAATATGGGTGATTTATTAATAAATAAATAAATTCATTAATTAATATGCATAGCTTTTTAGACCTTATTTTAGAGCTAATTTCTGAAAGGTCCCCATCATCTTAGGGTAATTTATTATATTCTTGAAGGTATCACTTCTTTTCCTTCGTTTCTTTCTTTCTCTCTTTCTTTCTTTTTCTTTCTTTCTTTCTTTCTTTCTTTCTTTCTTTCTTTCTTTCTTTCTTTCTTTCTTTCTTTCTTTCTTTCTTTCTTTCTTCCTTTCTTCCTTTCTTCCTTTCTTCCTTTCTTCCTTTCTTCCTTTCTTCCTTTCTTTCTTTCTCTCTCTCTCTCTCTCTCTCTCTTTCTCTCTCTTTCTCTCTCTCTCTCTCTCTCTTTCAATTTTGATGTTTTCCCAGATTTTGAGGTTGCAGCAGACACCCAAGTGGATGCAATAGTCAATGAGGAAGATTTTGCATCAGATGATGCAGCAGAGAAAGGAGACTTTGGAAAAGGTACCCTGCTAATTCACACAGATAGAATAGATGGGAATCCCTCCTGCGTATATGGTGGTACTGAAGGTGCTGCTTGCACAGCTAAAGGCTTAAACCAGCACTCCACATCTCAGGTATGTACAGTGAACATAGAAGGCCAAAGGAAACCAGAAAATATTTTTGTTTCAAGTAAGGGAACTGCTTCTAACTTGGAGCCAGGCAATACAGAATGCACATCAGAGGATTTGAAAACCTCTGAGGATGCTTCATTAAAAGACAGTAGACTCGCACCAGATGTTACCTTTGGAGATACAAAACCTAGCAATAAGGATTCCCTAAAAAGTGAACCCATGTTAATCGTTAGCACTCAGGATGACTGCGGAACATGTGAAACTGATGGCTTGGAAAGCAGAACTGCATTACATAAAACGGTTGAATCTCCTTGTCCCGCAAATAATTTCGCTCCATCTGAACTTGCACTAAAAGAACTAACCAGTCTTGAGAAACCAGTAGACCTAGATGCTAAGGCTCTGTTACCTGTTTTGAAAGCTTTGCCCACCCACAGTGTGGAAATGAAATTGTTCACCAAGGAGCAACGAGCTGAGGAAGGTGAAGAGTTTCCTCTGATGTCAGGTGTTATAAAGAGGTCCTCTTCAATAATATCTGATTCGGGCATTGAAAGTGAACCAAGCTCAGTGGCATGGTCTGATGCCCGTAGCCGGGCGCTGGAGCTGCCCAGCGATCGAGAGATCCTGCACCACTTGGTACGGAGACATGCCATTCACCGAAATTCCCTGGAGGGTGGCCACACAGAAAGCAATACTAGCTTGCCCAGTGGGATCCAAGCATCGCTCACGTCCATTAGCTCTTTGCCCTTTGAGGAAGAGGAGAGAGAAGTAGAGCTTACCAAACTGACCAAATCTGTTTCAGCTCCTCAAATCAGTAGCCCGGAAGAGCCTGTGGAGGAGGTGGATATATCCAAACACAGTGAAGTGCCCAATGGAGCTTCAGGAGGAAACTTAAAAAGTTGCATGGAGTCAGAGAGTGGAGACAGCCCATTAATTGTGAACTCTTCTGGATGTCAACTTGCCACTGAAAGTAGCCGACTAGAACTGACTAGAACCAAAACAAACAAACCCCTCACAAACCCCTCTGACAAACACAGTAGCAGTAACACTGAGTTACAAAGGGAAGAGGAGAAAGAAGGTTTTTCAGAGACATATTGCAGTTTGGAATGTGCAGAAACACCTCAAAAGCAGCTCAGATATGATGCTTCTGAATGCCCAACAGTGGAGAGCAATGATGAGTGCAGCTTAAAAACATCAAGGGCTTTTAGTTATTTGGACATGAACATAGATAATTTTGATACATGCATTGAGGATCCAAAAGATGAGCCTAAGCCAGAGAGTTTGAACATACAGCAAGGCTTTTATTCCAGTTTGGGGGTATCAGGAGAGGAGAATCTCTCACACAACGTGGAGCTGGTGCCAGAGTTTTGCTATCCTGTTCCAGCCCCTTTGGAGACCTCCACCAAATTTGGTCCAGTGCAAGAAGAGAGTGATGACACTGCTGCTGACAAAAGTGTGGCAGTATATGCAGAAATGCAAGGGTTGCAAGAAATTGAGCTCAACAATTCACCCACCTCAGCACAGCCTGCTGTGGGATCCCGCCAGGCTGAATTTCCTCAGGAACTTGTCAACCGAGAGCATAAACTTGTAGCTAATGGAACTGGGTTTCACTCGGTGATAACGGAGGGGGTAGCACTGGAAAGCAAAAAGTCTACTGATGTGGTTAATTTGTCCATCTCCTGCACTGCCACGTGTCTTCCCTTCTCTTCCGTGCTCAAGGAGACCCCAGCCATGGTCAACTTCTCTTCAAAGCAGGCTGCATTTCCCATCACACACCAGCCTCTGGGTTCTTTCGGAGTTGTCTCTTCCAATTTGAATGAGATGGATGAAGAGGCCAATGAAAGGATGCTGAAGTAAGAATGTCTAATTACTTCTTTAATTACTGTTATTGCAATGCCAAGAGACTCTGACAAATTTCAGAGCCCTAATGCACTGAGCATAGTGTACACATGCATTGCTGCCGGAGGAGTTAAATAATCTAACCAGACAAATGGTTTATTCAGAATAAGTAATCTAAGTAGACAGCAAGGACTGAAACACAGAGAGGCTCAGATTTTCAAAGGTATTAAGTCCTTAAACCTCATGGAAATCAGTGGGAGTTTGGCATCCAAATGCTTTTCAAAATCTGACTCTCATGAAGCCAACGTTACCCAGAACTGGGTATTGACACCCAGTAGCCAGTTCACCACTGCAATACCATACCTTGTCTTAGAGCTGTAGATGTAATTTCTTTCAAGCACTGTTCTCCTCTCTCAAGCACTTCTTTTTGAAAGGCTTGTTGTTGAACACCCAGTTCTATTGCAATTAATTAATGTATTCTCCAGTTTTTATCAGGCCAAAGAAAAATTTAAAAAAGAAATGAAGATTGAAGGATTTCTGTACAGTGACTTATCTGTACTAGCTTCTGATATCCCATATTTTCCACCAGAGGAAGAGGAAGAAAATTTGGAAGATGGAATTCACCTGGTTGTCTGTGTCCATGGGCTGGATGGTAAGGCCAGGCGGAATTGCTATGTGTTATAATTGTTTTGGTATATATGGAAAAAAAGGCATATCTTCAGCAAGTATGAAAGAATAGAGGGTCAGCAGAAAGCATTTACTGTAGCTATAGGCTTAGCCCTTTGTATGTTCTTTAGTTCACGGTAATAAAGGATCTGCGTGAACATTAAGTATTTGCTCTAAGAAATATTTCTTTTTATCGCTTAAAGAGAAAGTAAAGTAAATCAGTCTTTATCTGTGCATTACAATCACTCCTTTTGATGAATGTTCCAACATTCTGATGATGTTTGTTGTTTAGCAGTTTATCATCAGGGTGAAATCATGATTAAAATAGAAAACTACTAGCATAGAAGATGATTTGCTTTAGAAAGTAAGAGAATAAGAATCATTATTCACTGTAGAGGAAGCATCATCTGGAATTTCTAAAATATATGCTTTCTAAACAGAAAGCAAATATATTCAAGCTGAAACATCCCTTGAAAAAGTATGTTTTTAGTGGGAAAGGAGAAGGCTTGAACTTTGAGACTACAGAGAAGGAGTAAGTGAGACTCAAAAATAGTCGGCAGCCTCATAAAGGGGAGAAATGAACACACCCTGGCTCTAGCAAGGGCTTGAACTTTCCCATTCGATATCCAGCTGTCAGGAATGTCCTCCTCAGGAGGCAGAGGTGCCTGCTTCTCCAACAAGATGCTTCAGAAGACCTTGAAAAGTGCCTAAGAAAGTCAGACTCCAGCCTTTTAGGGGATGCTTGTGGCTTTCTGGTGATTGGGAGGCAGAGTCGACTCGGCCCTGATCTTTGCCCCTTCCTCCCTGCTATTAAGTGGCTCATGTACCCCCCAGCAAGCAAGGGTTGAGGTCCAGCTGTCCCTTGTGCAGCTAAGCAGGTGGCTGCTGATCTTCCTATCCTGCTGCTTCAATGTATGGTCTTACTGCCTGCTGGAGCTGTCTCAGCAGCACTCAGCACTTAGCAGAATCAAGATTTGTAAAATGCTGAAAGTTTAAGTTGAATTTGTAACAGTTATTTTGCTGCTGAATTGAAGCTGATTAAGTTCCATTTATTTCCAGGCAACAGTGCAGATCTGCGGTTGGTAAAGACGTTTATAGAACTGGGGCTCCCAGGTGGAAAACTGGACTTCCTAATGTCGGAAAGAAACCAGGTAGTACAGAACTAGTATCTATATTTCTTTAGATGACCCTCAAGCTGTTGACATTCATGAAATAGGGCCTTCAGCAAGTGGCTATCTGGCAGAGACCAAAGTGCTGGGGAATTTAAGAATTTTGTTCAGGGTTCAGTACAAAGCCTGGTTCCACTCCCAACTCTCTTAACAGGGTGTTTAAAATAACCAGAAAAGATTCTTAGCATTGCAATCAAAGGTACTTTAACTGAAATCAGCACTTGTAGGATAGACTTTAGAAGAATTTAATTGATTTATCCTGCCATTTTGCAAGCATAGCAATTTGGTGTATCTGCCTGCTCTATGTGATGTGAAACAGCACCCAAAGAAAACAGCATGTTTAGTGAGGTAGGTTCTCCTGAGGAAGTGAAATATCCAGCAGAAGGCAGCAGCTGTTGTCTTCTTTTGCCCCACTGGCTTCTATTTCCTCTACTGTAATGTTTAAGAGGTTTATTTTCTTGAATGACAAAAAAAAAATGTTCTTAAGAAAGAAAAAAAAAACATTTCCAGTATAAGCAGAGAATCATGAATGAATTCTGCTTTGCAATGAATCCACATTTCTGATGCAGATGGCTAGCTTTATACACAAGATAAGAATTTCCAGTTGCCAGTAAAATACATTGTTTTGATTTATGAAGATATCTGAGAAATTTAAGTAAAAACTTCCCAACCTTCTTTGCTCAACACATCAGATTTTTTTATTATTATTTTATTCTGAATTGGCCATTTGGTATTAAGCTGTGAACTTGCCACCTTCCAGGACACATTTCATTCAGTAAGAGATTGGACCTGAAAACATGATTATGATGATGTTAATGACAAGACCACTACAGACTTGCATTAAAGGCTCTTCTATTTTCCAAGGATGAAAACAGTAGTTCTTACACCATCTCAGTTTGCTGTTATCCAAAACCCAAAACCCATAATGAGAAGTTTTATCCTCCTTTTATGGAGTGGAGACTAGAATTAGGCACTGGAAATAGGACACACGTGGCTTAATGGTTATCTACATGTTTTAAAGCATCCTGTCAGCCTTTTATTTATTTATTTATTTTATCCTGCTCTAGAAGCACACTTGAAATCATTTATGAATTCAGTTGTCTAGCTGAAATTTAACTTGCAGAGGACAATGCAACTCACTATTTTTAAGCGTTCATTTGTGAGATATTTGTCAAGCTCATTGAGACTGAGATGATAATGAAGGATTGAGACACAACCTGTTGAAATATGACACTGGATGGATTTTGTTTGTGATTAACATTTGGACTGGTATTTTTCAACCTTTAAATGACCTGAAAATTTTAGGATAATAAGCACAGGAAGAAAACATTAATTATCAGTGCCAACAAAACAGAGAGGTGGGAGGTTAGTGGACTGTAGTTTATGACAACATTAATTTTAAGACAGTGTTGCGGACTGAATATGCTCATGTTTTCCTTTGCAAGAGCTGCAATTAGCAAGATGAGTTGTGTCACAAAAGCATTAATTACTAGATATGTTTGCTCTGAATAGCTGCTCCAATATTTGATGATTGTTTTTGTGGCATCTCATTAGTTACAAATTTGATTTAGAGCTCAGTTAGATTGCCAAATGACACAGTTCTGAATAAGAAGATCTGCCTGCAGTTCTATAGACTGGACAATATATTTTGTTTGTTTGATTTGTTTTGTATTTGCATCACAACTGGCAGCACCTTTGCAAGCAACAAAATGCTTAATCTTTTTCTAGCATCCATTCTCTTACTGATAACTGTTGAATCGTGCATGACATTTCATTAGATTGGCCTAATAATTTTGTGATCACACCCTTTAGATTGACACAAACCATATTTCAGTGTGTAATACTGTAAACTATTTCATCCTGGTAATCTGTTAAATCCTGAATGCCAAAAGCTTTTCTTCCACATGCACAGTCTAGCGCCTATAGAGGCCAAGCATTAGTAGTTCTCTCCAGTGTTACTTCAGTGCACTTTAGCAAAGTAGTGATGATAGTAATGATTCTGAAATCAAACAATCATGTATTTTTACTTGCACTATTAACAAATTGTAGGCCATTTTTCTTTTCCTGCCATGACACATGGCTAATTTTGAATGAAGTACAGTCAGTGCAGAAAGAGAAGTAACAATGAAAGCAAACTTAACCCCCTTAAAATATGAATTGTCCTCCAGAGGCTCTGTTTCCATGGCCTACGAAGGAGACCATGTAGATTCTGGTCCAAACTTTAATAGTCAAGATTTCTTGTGTTATAATATGAAAATATAATTGGCCTATAATTTATATATATAGAAGTAAATGCAGTACATTTTAATTCACCAACTGATTTGATTCTTTTTTTTTTTCACCAGACTGATACATTTGCTGATTTTGATACAATGACTGACCGATTATTGGATGAAATTATTCAGCATATCCAATTATATAACCTCTCCATATCCCGAATAAGGTAAAGTATTCTGATAATTAATGGTCTGTAACTGTGTCTAGTCATAAGAAACATTCAATGGAATTTGCTTTTCCAAAGGCGCCCTATGTCAAAAGCCATTAAAGTCAGTGAGATGAATCTTTATGCTGTTCTATCTAGAAGAATATATATGAGGCTGAAGAAAATATGAAAAAAGAGCATGTTAATGAAAACTTTTATATAATCCACTAAGAACAGTGCTGCCCTTGCGTGTAATTTAAATAAAATAGGTGCTTTCTTTTTGTGTTAATGTAATTGTGTCATTCTGAACAGTTTTATTGGACATTCCCTTGGCAACGTCATCATCCGATCTGTACTAACTCGACCCAGGTTTCGTTATTACCTCAACAAATTACACACCTTCCTGTCCCTCTCCGGGCCTCACCTGGGAACACTTTACAACAACAGTACTTTGGTTAGTACAGGTAAGAGGTAACTGGAGCAGTAGGACTTGCTGTACTCTGTGGCAGAGTGGATGAGTGCAACTTCTTGAAGGCAGCAGTAAACTGTGATGACACTAGTACCACATTGAAGCTGTTTTAAATATTTGCGAGAGACTTAAAACCCACAGAGATTTCCTTCTGGAGCTGGGTTCAGTGTCATGCAGAGCTTGCAGCTTGCATTTCCATCGGTGCACACATGATGAAGTGCAGCCACCAGAGGCGGTTTCCCACCCCTTGAATGCATCCTGCTATCTTGACTTGAGTGCTGTGAAGGTTGCAATGACACAGGCTCTCGTTACCTGCTAGGTCACTCACTGTGTTCCCTGGGAATGTCAGGGGTGTGCAGAAGCAAAAAATGATCTTACTTTCACTCTCTTTCACTTTCACTCTCTTTGTTACTCTTTCATTTCTTCTGTACTACTTGTAAAATCAGATATCTCTAAGGCTGAGAAAGACACTAACTGTGATAGGTGAAAGGAATCCCGAGTCTGACTCTTCTGAGTCTTTATGTTACCATGATATGGGAGAATACCATAAGATCCTTAGACTTTTCTTCTTGTTAATTAGCAATACAAGAGGAAACAAGGACCTAATAATGTTTCAGTTAGAATATTCAGTTATATATGTTTTTTATAATAGGCACATCTCTTTATCCCTGTGGTTAATTGGGAATAATGGTAGGAAAAAAAAAAAAGTGCATCAATTGTCCTTTTAGGTCTGTGGCTCATGCAGAAGTTGAAAAAATCAGGGTCGCTTTTGCAACTGACCTTCAGGGACAATGCAGATCTGCGCAAGTGTTTCCTCTATCAGCTCAGCCAAAAAACAGGTAAGTAGTGTTTGAGGTGGGTGTGTTAATGTCAGCAACTGTTCTAGAAGTTGTCCTGTATTACTGTGCTTTCCAGAAGTAAAGGAAATATGCTTTTGCTGATTTTCCTTTAAATGTTTTGTAAATGTCCTGGGGTATAGTGGGATATTTACCTTTGACTGACATGCTTGAGTCAAGTTGGGTTTATATGGGATGGCTTCAACATCAAGAATTCCCAAGCATGTGCTGTGAGCCACAGCAATTTGTGATTTTGGTAGCTTGGCTGTCAGCGATGCATTGACTGATAAAGGTTTTGTCCCTGCAAAAACAGTAAGTTTGGATGTGGTAGCACTCACTGTTGTCCTGTGCTACCTGATAGCCCACCCTGAAATTTATAGACATCATCAATTTAGTTGTAGGATGATCTAAGAAAATGATGGGCAGTTTCAGCCAGGTTTGCTAGAGGGAGCCAGCAGGACAGTTCTGGAAAATCTAGAAAGGGAAAGACTTGGTCCTCGTCAGCTTTTCCATGAGGAAGAGGGGAGAAAGGTCAAAGACACAACTCTGCTGTACTGAGAATACTCTCTGAACTAATAGACTGTATCATCTGTCTCCATCTTCCAATTCTTCTGCCGAAATTGGGCTCAGAAGGCCACAAACAGAGGAAGTAGAGGGAACTCGTACCCAACTATATCCACTTATCCATGCAAGAACACACATTGAATATAGTGGAGATGTTCATAATATTTACACTGTTCAGAGACAAATGTTTGCAAGATTAAGATTTTAATCAACAATCATTGGAACAGAAACAGTTTACTTTTTCTTTTTTTTTTCTGATATAGAATTAACGTGTTAGCATATTTAAATAGCAAGTAGCCCAAATCCTTACAAACCTGTGCTATGTTTCAATTTTTCTTCATTTGTTCTGCTCTGCGTATTTCAAAATGTGGATGAACCAGGCCTAGTCTTGTTGGTGGATGAACCAGGCCTAGTCTTGTTGATATTATATATGTTTTCATTGCTTTGCATTATAGTGATGAATATATTTAATGCATTTGTTTGTCATAGGTCTTCAATACTTTAAAAACGTTGTGTTAGTGGCCTCGCCTCAAGACAGATATGTACCCTTTCATTCAGCAAGAATAGAAATGTGCAAAAATGCACTTAAAGACAGACACACAGGTATGTGAAAGACTTTTTCTGTGTTTACAAAGCTGCTGAGGTTTCTGTTGATTTTTAAATAGGTGAGGTCACTACATCAAATGGGATTTTCGTGAGAATGATGAAAACTCAAGTGTTTGTTTGATAAGGAAGAGTGTTATCTTCCCACACAAAATGACTGAAATCATTAAAAAAAAAAAAAAAAAAGCTTTTAAAGAAGCTCTTTGTCTGAAGAAAAAAAAAATCAATCAGGTTGTAATCAAAGAGCTCTTACCCTTTCTTTCCCTCTAATTTATTTTAAGGAAAGTGATGATAATAGAACAAGTTTCCAACACCATTTTTCTTCAGTCTACTGAATTGTTTGTATTGTCTCAACTTTGTTTCACATAATGAAATCTCATTAAACAGATCCAAAGTCAATGGGTTTTCCCTTTTATTTCAATAGTCTTTGGATGAGCTCTGTGTAATTTCACTGGCAATCAGACCTCAAATCATCTTGTTTAGTAATAAAATTTGCCAGGCATCTCAGGATACATGCCAACAGAGGCCTCTCTCCTGAAAGCTCAGACTGTGTGCTGTCCCATGTATCGCCTTTTTTATTGGTAGTTCTCCTTATTATAAAAATGCTCCATAGCTTCTGTTTAACACCAGTTTTGGAAATAATGTGCTGGGTAGTTTCATACCCATTTCACCACTGTGGTTAGCTAGAAATGGAATCATAGACTCATAGAATCCTTAAGATTGGAAGGGACCTTTAGAGATCATCTAGCCTGACTGCCCTGCATACACAGGGTCACCTAGAGCACGTGGCACAGGATTGCATCACGGCAGATTTTGAAGATCTCCAGAGAAGGAGATTTCACAACCTCTCTTGGCAGCCTGTTCCAGCTCTCTGTCACCCTCATTGTCAAGAGATTTTTCCTTAGGTTCCTGTGGAACTTTTGGTGCTTCCGTTAGTGGCTGTTTCCTCTTGTCCTGTCACTGGTCACTGAAAAGAGGCTAGCACCATCCTCCTCACTGCCTCGCTTGAGGTACTTATAGACACTGATTAGATCCCCTCTCAGCCTTCTCTTCTTCAGGCTGAACAGGCCCAGCTCTCTCAGCCTTTCCGCACAGGGCGATGTTCCAGGCTCCTGATCATCCTCATAGCCCTGTACTGGACTCTCTCCAGTACTTCCAAGTCCCTCTTGTACTGGGGAGCCCAGAACTGCACACAATACTTCAGACGTGGCCTCACCAGCATTGAGTAGAGGGGCAGGATCACCCCCCTCAATCTGCTGGAGACGCTCTTAAGCATCTTAAGCTTAAGGAAGAACTTTTTGGAAGTTCAGAGAGTCAGGTAGGAGCAAGAGTCAACATGATTTCCTTCGCATATCTTTAACAAAACACAACTCCATTTCCAAAATCCAAAAGCAAGCTTCTAATTCAGGTCGTTGCCTCTCAGGGCAGGAGCCAGGTCTACATTCAGTACAGATCATTCATGAACATGGCACCTTTCCTCAGCTGTCACTCTTATATAAACTTCTGAACTATTTTTAGAAATGCATGATGTTCTTGATCTGAGGAAGTCTATTCCTCAGAGAAACCGTGATGAGCCTTTATTTCTTGCCAGGCCCCCTTTTTTTTCTGCTTCACAAGCAATGTGTTTGCAGCCAAAATTTCCCTGAAGATAAACAGAGCATTTCCTTCTGCCCCAGGAGAAACGAGAGTGAATGCTGAGGAGCTTCACCAGCCCCCCTGGGGTGGGAAATGTATTCTCTTAGATTAAGTCCTGGCACTTGGCTAATCTTGGTGATGCGCTGCTCTCTAGGCACTTGCTTTTTGGCATTTCTTTGATTATCTTGCCAATTATCATTGTGATTAAAATAAGAAAATAAGGGATCTGGCAGCTTTGGCGGGTAGATGTGACACCTAATTTTTTTTTTTTCAGGTCCTGTTTATGCAGAAATGATTAACAACCTACTGCAGCCATTGATTGGGGCGAAGGACTGCACTTTAATACGACATAATGTGTTCCACGCTCTGCCCAACACCGCCAACACACTGATCGGTCGTGCAGCCCACATTGCAGTACTGGACTCCGAACTTTTCCTGGAGAAGTTTTTCCTCGTGGCAGGACTCAACTACTTCAAATAGTGCCTGAAGTATTGGGTAACAGAAGCAAAAACCATTTTGTTGAGTGGAGTTGAATCCCTTAGCCAAAAAAAAAAAAAAAAGGTGTGCAGTATCAGAAACAAGATCAGGTGGGACTTTAAACTCTCTCCATTCTCATTTCTGTTCCAGAAAATAAAATTTTATGGCTTTGAGGTATTCAAGCTTTCAAGTACTGGTGCTTTTGGAAGAAGTAAATTTCCCTTTTGAATTCCTATGTCCACATAAAGACACAAACTGCTTCTGAAATAGAGAATCAGAATAAGAAGGCTAATTCTCCAAGTGTCATTGGATCAGTATGATTTCCATTTCTCTCAGTTATTAACCCAGGAACGTGGCTCTCTTTGATTTACTGTTTATTTGTGTATTCACAAAGCTGTACATTTGTAGCACTTTGGGGGTAGTTAACACAAGAAGAAACAAGTATTTCTGAACTCAGGTTAAAACCTCCTTTGTGATGAGCAAAAATGTCTGGAGAACATTTGTGAAAGATTTAGCAGTTCCATTTGTTGAAAGAAAACACTCAGATTGCTAATCATCTGCAACATGCATATACTGAAGGAAAGAAATATTTTAAATAGAACACAGACATCTTGATATTTTCTTTTTAAGCCTTTAAATTGGAAAGAATTTTTATTTCAAGTTAGAAGCTGCCAAACCAAGAGTAATTTATTGGAATATTTGTGAAATATCAGTGGCATCTGCTAACTCTTATCCTGTTTACATTTATAGAGTATCATTATTCTGCTTGTCACTATAACCGTAGAAGTTTTTACTTTACAATCTGTATCTAGGTACAATTAGCCCAGTGAATAAACAAAATATTTTTTACTCTGAGCTGAAATTCCAAACCCATCCTGTAGTACAGCTATGAAACCAATCAGATGAAAATATTCTGGTGATATGGAGTGGCAAGTATTTTGCAAAGCTTAAAAATATAGAGATTTCTTTTAAGCTTCTCTGCCATGTCATACTAATGCTCTGCTAATGCCCATTTAGAGTACTATATGTGTCCTAATTATTGTATGGTTACAGTTGGTTGAAACATTTAAATTTGTATTCATGCAAAAATATTATAATTCTTTTTAAGGGTTTAGAAAAGAATCCATTTTTCACTTTTTTCTATTTTTTATTTTTAATTAAAATTTGTATTAAGAAGTTATCAGCATTTAAAATGACAAATTTCAATGACTTTCTATGTTTTCATACCATTTAGATAAATATGCACAGCTGGTTTTTCAAAAAAGGGAAATTGAATAATTCATAACATTTTTAAATAAAAACTTTATTTTATTATTTAAAAACATAAGTGATCAGCTCTCCATATCTTCTGTCAAAAACATTAAATAATGTCGAAGATGGTTTCAGGTGTCAAAACTCTTATCAGTTAATGAAAGCCAAGACAATAGAGATCCCTGAAATAGGTGAGATGATAAAATAAAAAGGGTTTAGGGGGGACATTTGTGCATGAAAAAGTGCTTAAGTAACATTATGTTGTGTTCAAAAGAAGAAAGTGGACAAGTTATACAGAATTAATTCAGAAAAGGAGTTGCTAGCAGACTGGCAAGCACTGCTAAAGAACAAAGCTAGTTTGACACCCAGGTATATTTTTAAATAGAAAGAATTAAGAAGGAATATCCAAAAGGGTGGAAGTAAAATAATATGAAAATAGGAAGTTATATTGCACTTAAAAACCCTCTGCCCATTGAAAGTCACAAGGAAATTATATAGAAACACTTCCATGGTATGTTTCAATGTTGACAAGATTTGTAAAGATCAAATATTACTGCAGTACTTGAATGAATTAGGTAGATCCTATTATCCCTTTTCCTTTTATAAACTGGTTGTTTAAAGTCAAAAGCTGGATTTACCTAGTTCGCAAAAAAAAAAAAAAAAGTTTGTAATGAAGAACTTCTGTTTCCCACTTCTGATTTTGGAAGTCTTCATCCATTATTTTCCTGCCTCCACATTTTAGTGCTGGCTAAATGTACATATCACAGCTTACTTTTTCCTTGGTAAGTTGTTTACACAGTTTTGAATATAATGGAGGATGTAGGCTGAACTTTTATACAGCTCAATGGTTTTGAACTGTAGTAATGGACTTTCAAGAAATATGTGAAAATAAGTAAGAAAAGCAATTGGGAACTTTCAGTGCTGCGCAGATGGGTTGACTCCTCCTTTCGAAAACGCCCAGGTGTCTGCAAATGAGAAATACTGAAAAAAGTGTTGAGAGGCTATTATGTAAAAATATAAATAAATATATATGCATATGCACACATGCATATACATTTATGTGTGTATATATATACATATGTACGTATGTATATACTTAAAATCTCTACAAAGTGTGCTTACTTCAAGCTCTCATATTCAAATGATTTTAATACTGAGTATATCTACATTCAGATGGGTGGTTTCTTGCCTTGCCTTCTAGACTAAATGGTTTTCCCAGCCTTCTGTTTGCATGAGTGTGAGAAAAAGAGGAAGTGCGAGAAGGTCTCTGCTGTATGATTGCAGAAGTTGGTGGCCCTTTCAGTACATTCACTTTTGCTCTCACACTTTGCACTGCTGTCAGTGCTGAGACTGATTGAAAAAAATAACTAAAGGTTTCTATATGTACAATATTCTTCCATGGCTCAAAGTCTGGTTGAAATGGGAGATGGACTGGTGCCATACAATTTGCTCCTTGGAGGTCATGATACAAAGCTGCTAAAACACTGGGAGATGTCATTCCTGTGAAAGGTTGAAACATAAGATTTTATCTATCTTCCTTGAGCTGCCAGAACATTGTGAGAAATATTGACAATAACTGTCTAGCTTAGCATTCATTTTGAAGTTCTCAGAATGGTCTCTATTTTTCTTTTCTGTTTTTTTTTTTTCTTTTTTTTTAATGGGATCTTGCTTTGGTGATGATTCTGAATATTGTAAATTCACTCCTACAGTATGCTATATGGAACAGAAACCTTCATTATTGTTATGAAGTAAATGATATGCAAGTGGTTGGACATCCTAAAATATAATAATCTACATGGACTCATTTTCAGAATGTTTTTATATAATGATTTCTATAGAGATAAATATATATTAAGAATTACCTTCTTAACAAATAGCAAAATATCTGCACAGTTAGTATCTTTGTTTCTGTGTTGAGCTTTGGAATTTTAGTGTGTTGTCCTTTTATAGAAAGTCTCCTAAATTACATTTAGGTACATTAGCAGCAGCACTACACAGATTTGCCTCCCATCTGCATGAGCTCCTCTTGTTTTCATGTATCAGCGGGCCTATGCTTAGATCCTTAAGTTCTTAAACCAACAGTGGATGAAACAGGTTTTCAACTTGAATAGAGGAAGGGACCAGTCTGACTTTTTTGTAGTTTGTTTTTCTTTTTAAAAAAAACACTCCATTCAGTGAGTATACAAGCTTACTCTACACTGAGCAACATTTAGCAGGACTGTTCTTGTATTTCACTCAAACGGGACATTTCCAGTATTGTCACTGGGACAACTTGAAGCTTTAGGGCTGTTTGGTTGTCCTGGCAAATTGGATTTTGCCTACTTAGCCATCTCCGTCTCTGCTCCCATGGGGAAAAAATGGGGCAGATAAGGAACATTGTTGAGGGGCCTGGGGAACAGCTGGGATCGGGGGTGCCAGATGTTTCTTTGGTGCATGGCAGCAGTGGCAGAAACAAGCCTGACTTTCCACACCACTGTCAGCATGAAATAGGTAGGAAGGCCAGCGTTTTCTCTAATCTCCTTGTAGTCCACTCTCTAGACAACTGCCTGCTTTGCCAACACCTGGAGTAAGCCCTTTGCCTAATGCCTAATGTTGCTTGGATTTGGAGCAAAACTCCCTCACTTCAATGGGGTTGTTCTTTAGAGAACTAAAATTAAATACATCAATACAAAGCTGTTTCTTGAGCATCCAGAAAAAAAAGCTTCTTCTGAAAGAAGCTTTGATTTCTCTATTTACTATGCATTATATATGCACGCACATATATACATATGTATATATATATATATGCACATGCATATATACTATATATATACATATAAGTATGGCACTAAGTATATTAAATAAGTATACAATGGCATTAAATATATTAAAAAATGGTAGCACTTGAGAAAAATGTGATAATAACATTTCAGTTATTATCATGTCTTTATTAATAGCTGGGTGAAGTTCTCTAAATTTGGGGCTGTAAGAGCCCATTCAATTCTTCTTGTGTGAGAATTTCATTGCTTTTGAAAATATTTTTTCTTTTTAATATGGGTAGAAATAAACTGCAAAGTAAATGTGAGTGGCTTAAGAATAGAAAGGGGTTTCTGCATCTGGGCTGATGATTTTCAAGAGGCTGTATTTCTGCACAAAATCAGATAAATCTCTGGATATGTTTCTGCTTCTAGTGTAGAATTTAGTGGGGTTTTTTTAACTTAATTTGTACCTAAAAAATAGTTGCAAAATGAATTTGTCCTACTAAAGGAATCATCTAAGTTCTCTATATAATCAATGAAGAGAGTCTGCCACTATTTTTTTTTCATACATAAATGGAAGTTTTGGCTGGATTTCCAGCAAACACTGAAGATGCATATCAGGCTCCTATAAAGTTTGGCTGGAAGTGTGTCTTTTACCAGTTTCCAATGTATGCTCATATTTTCTTGAACAAAATTATTTATTTGCTTTCATCACAGCTGCCTGCTGACAATAGTGGAAGTTGAAATTACATAGCCTTTAAAGGATTGTGTCCTGAAGTCTTGAAACCTTAGTACACACAGCTTTGGAAATTACTAACAGTAACCCCAAGCACTATCTTATTTCATAGGCACCTCATAAACGTGCACTGATGGGTCTCCTGCACTCTTACCTTGCTAGAGAAGAGCCACACTTGAGAATCACAAGACCATATGAAAACTGAGAATTCAAGCAAAAGGTTTATTTAGAATTCATAGTTTCCTCTGGCATTTGCTGTGTTTTAAAGAAAGAAGCTCTCTTGCATTTTGCCTCTGCATGTGAAGTACCTAAATGGTGATGCAGTAGG